TAAGTCAGTGAAGGGGTTTTAACCCCTTCAGCAACTTGGGATGAAGGTGGGAGGGAGAGGGGCACTAGAGGGTCCTACAGTGCCAGGAAAATGAATGTTTTCCTGGCACTGGAGAATCCCTTTAACCCCTTAAGGACCAAACTTCTGGAATAAAAGGGAATCATGACATGTTACACATGTCATGTGTCCTTAAGGGGTTAAAGGAGCAATATAGTGCCAGGAAAACAAACTAGTTTTCCTGGCACTATAGGGTCTTTAGGACCCTGTTCCCCCCTCAGGATCCCACTCACGCCGGGCTAAAGGGGGACGAAGGGGTTAAACGCTTACCTTTCTCCAGTGCCGGGCTCCCTCGGCTCTGGGGACTCTCCTCCCTCTTCCGAGGTCATCCGCTGAATGCGCATGCGTGGCATTCAATCCATCCATAGGAAAGCATTTCTCAATGCTTTCCTATGGACGTCAGCGTCTTCTCACTGTGACAAGCACGGAAGCGCCTCTAGCGGCTGTCAATGAGACAGCCACTAGAGGCTGGATTAACCCTATTGTAAACATAGCAGTTTCTCTGAAACTGCTATGTTTTCAGCTGCAGGGTTAAAACTAGATAGACCTGGCATCCAGACCACTTCATTGAGCTGAAGTGGTCTGCGTGCCTTTAGTGGTCCTTTAAAGAAATATAAAAAAAAATAAAAAAAACTCACCTTCAGTCCAGTGCAGAGACCCGGTTCTCCTTGCAGCCCAATCTGCCATCACTGGATTCATCTCCCTCACCAAGAAGGCGCTCTCGCCATCTATTTGTTTTTTAAATAAACCCTCTTCCTCCCCTTGCCGGCACAGAGTGCGCACAAATGCGCTCTGAAATGGCAAATTCTCTAGGGGAAGTTAGTGATTGGACTGCAAGCGGCCCCAATGACATCATGAAGGGGTGGAAAAGCAGCACCAAGAGCTTCACCGGGCGCTGAATTTCAGGTAAGTAAAACCTTTTATTACAGGAGAGGGAGAACTTGCGCCACAATCCCCAGTAGGGCATATTAAACCTCATAGGTCCCTCCTCCCAAAAGGGGTTATAGTAACCTTATGACTCAACTACATTATAACCGTCAATACAAATGGAGTACTTTGTTTGGGGTGAAGACATTGGGGGACATTTTTAAAGGGGCATGCTAAGCACAGAAATACTACAACCTGCTGTAGTGGTTATGGTGTTAATGGGCATTACCAAATATTACAGGATGCTGAGAGACTGCTCCAACTTCCCAAGGCTGAGAGGTTGACTTGTTCTATTTTACAGATATTGCAAGCATATTATAATCTTATAAACTCTGATGGAATTTATTATAAAGGATTATTAAAGGACCACTCTAGGCACCCAGACCACTTCAGCTTAATGAAGTGGTCTGGGTGCCAGGTCCTTCTAGGGTTAACCCATTTTTTCATAAACATAGCAGTTTCAGAGAAAAAAGCCTTCCCCCATTCCCTCTAGTGGCTGTCTCATTGACAGCCACTAGAGGCGCTTGCGTGCTTCTCACTGTGATTTTCACAGTGAGAGCACGCCAGCGTCCATAGGAAAGCATTGTAAATGCTTTCCTGTGCGACGGGCTGAATGCGCGCGCAGCTCTTGCCGCGCGTGCGCATTCAGCCCAGGAGGAGGAGAGAAGGAGGAGAGCTCTCCGCCCAGCGCTGGAAAAAGGTAAGTTTTTAACCCTTTCCCCCTTCCAGAGCCGGGCGGGAGGGGGTCCCTGAGGGTGGGGGCACCCTTAGGGCACTATAGTGCCAGGAATACGAGTATGTTTTCTGGGCACTATAGTGGTCCTTTAAGTCAAAACAATGTCAACAATGTTGCCACGGCGATAACAGGTGATGCAGAAAGAATATACCAGCAATTCTAGTTAAATACTTTGGGGGTGACCCTTACCAAGGTCCTTATGGTCTTCCGGATTTTGGTGAAATTGAAGTTTTCACTGAATGAGAGAGACCGTTAGGCAAGCAGGGAGGCTATGTAATCCGGTTTGTGAAACTGCTTGAGAATGGCATGACTAAGAACTGGTACCCACAACCATTAATAGTACCATAACCACTACAATAAGATGGAATGTTATAGTGCTTAGCTGGCCTTTTTAAACACTGCCAAAAGAAATTGAGAAATCGGACGGATTATAAAATTCATTATAAAATGAATCTATTGCAAGGAGAGACTACACATATTTGTTTCATATCATTCTGTGAAGCGCAGGATGATTCAAACAAAAAGTTAAATGGACACTATAGTCACTTGAACAACTACAGCTTAATGTAGTTGTTCAGGTGAGATCTGTAGCTCCTTGCAGGCAATACAGTGTTTACATTGATTGATAGTAATACCTCCAGTGGCCGTCACTCAGACGGCCACCAGAGGGACTTCCTATCATGTATGGCCCTAAAAAGGCCATGTGTGCAGGAGAGAGAAGGCACTATGTGTGCGCCTTCTCTCTCCTGCCTGTGAGCAGAGGAGAGGGGGCAGGCAAAGACCGTGAGCTGAGCTGTCAGTCAGCTCAGCTCACAGCCACGCGCATGCGCGGTAGTGCGCTTGGGACTTCATAGGGTGGCATGAATGACGCCCTATGAAGTAAGTGCGCATGTGCGGCGAAGCCGTGCATGCGCACAATGGAGCAATGACGCTTCCAAATGGAAGCGTCTAATTGCTCCCTGCTCGCGCCCGCCTATTTTGTCATTTTGACGACATAGGGGGCGCGGCTTTACGAGGCTCCCAGCACTGGAAGCAGGTGAGTAAAATCCTCTGCCTGGAGAGTCCTTTTAAGTTTTGCCAATTTACTAGGAAGTAAAGAGACAAGTCTATGACTAAGTTGTAACGGAACTCCCAGTACAATGACCGAGTACCTTCCGTTGATGGACGCTTCCTAGCTTGCGCCGTGGACCACAAGCACCGGACACCACAACCACCGCAGACTCCACAACCACCGTAGCTTAACTGGAGTCTCGCCGTCTTCTGTCCACCCTGGATCAGCTTCTGTCCTCCAGGACCATGTGGGGAAGACCTCTTCTCCAGGAGAGCGTAACAGGAACAGATCTTAAAAAAGTGATTAAAGTTCAAGGGAGTATGCAGAGCATAGCAATCCCTAGTGTGAGTATAGCTGTCCACTCCAATCACGAGACAAGACTACGTGTTGAGGGTGAAGAAGAACTGACTGTACTGGCACATACAGCCTCTTTTATTCACATTCTACAAACATAGTACTGCCCACAGGGTTTTGAAGAACAACCAAGCAACACATTACAACACAGCTAACACTCCCATTCATTACATCAGAAATCCTCCCCTCTGCCTGTGATACAATTATCTCAACACAATGCACCAACATAATTATCACAGGCAGGAAAATACAGTATTATAAAACATATCACAGGGACCCAAAAACATGCAATAACCCCATAAAAACCTCATATATCCTCGGAACCGGGGGATCTGGGTGAACCACATATTCAAAATTCACCCAGATCCGTTCAGTACTTTGGAAGATACAGTGTAATGCAGATTCTGCAGAACATATACAGGCTATATGAAAAATAATTACTGTATAATGTGTCCCCTGTTATATAGTTTAAAACTACTGCACGATGTCTCTGTGCACCAAATACCGGCGAGATGGCACTGTGTAGAAAAGTCCAAACAGTGTCTGTGAGTTAAAATGGCCGCCATCCATTGTTCTCACCATGTGCTTCATCCATTGTTCTCACCATGTGCTTCATCCATTGTTCTCACCATGTGCCTCTGATACATGAAATGGTGGCCACCCAGTAACTCCACAGTTTGTCTGGTAGTCTATCCAGCCAGACCAACAGATGAAACACATGGGGAACAGTGCAACAAACTAAGGGAATCATAAAAAATATGGACAATAGTCATATTTGTGCACAATCTCCAGTTTTGTCACAGGGCACAAATAGTGTTTTCAAATGCCATATATCCCAGGGCCATAGTCAGAAGGTAGGAGGCGGGCAAGCGGCCCCCTCCAAGAACACGTGGCGAGGAGGTCTATTCCTCCACATAAGTATTTTAAAAAAGTGACGTAGAATGTTTGTGGGATATGGAAATCATGCATTAATTGTTATTTACCTTAGATGTATGGGACACTATAGTCACTAGAACCAATACAGCTTAATGTAGTAGTTCTGGGCATACTGAATGTCTCTGAAGTTTCAGCATGGTAAAAAGTAGCCTTTTCTGAGAAAACACAGTGTTTACATTGCTGCCTAATGCCACCGGTCACTGTGACAGCTACTAGGTGGACTTCCTGGGTTCAGTCCTGCAAAGATTGTAGATTGACTCAATGCATCTCTATGAGGAGATGTTGATTGGTGGAGCTATTTGCCGCACATGTGCACTAGTCTGGATTGGATGAAATCATCAGGATTTATGATCTCAGTAATGAAGGTGAGGCGTACAGTAACCAGTGCGGCAAGGGCTAAAAGGGAGGGAACAACTTATATTTTTAGATTGTAAGCTTGTTTGGCAAGGGCCCTCTTCATTTACTGTCCCCCATGTCAAATGAATGTTAGAAAGGTTTCTCGTCTTAATGCTCCAATGCTGAGGAAAATGTTGACGTAACATAAATAATAAGAACAGTAAAGCATTAAGAATACACGTTCATATTCCTAACTCCTTCCTTTAATATTGCAATGTCTTTGTTTTCTGGGCAGTATATTATTTTGCAAAACACTGGATCTTTTGACTTAGCAAAGTCTAATGAAACACAGGCACAAAAAAGTGTTATTAAAGTGCTAAATTTCAGAAGGGGTTTAGTAGTGCAGGGGTTATATGTAATAGCATATAGACGACCCCCAAACTCTGCAACAATCTATGCCCTGTGAATAAACCGTGATGAAATGAGTTGCCCCTCTTCCCTGCAGTTATGTTTTATAAATGTAGCAGATTGCGAACATTGCTGCTGCTATAAGCCCGCCATATCACCGGGGGAAGCTGTATTGCCAGATACCCCTGCTATGCACAAGAACTCCACCCTGGAATGTCCTTTACAATGAAGGATACACATAAGAACTATAATATCAACGGTCCTGTTGGACAAGCTTTGAATTAGCAGTGAGTGTAGTGAGTGAGAGGAAGCAGTGGGTATAGTGAGTACAAGTTAGTGGTGGCAGTGAGTATAGTGAGTATGGGTTATTGGTGGCAGTGAGTATGAGTTAGTGGTGGCAGGGAGTACAGTGAGTGGGAGT